GGCATTGAGATAAGTGTTTGGTCTAACCTTAGCTTGAGGGATTAGGAGTTGTGTCCTATTTTCTATTTGTTTCTTGTTGAGTACGACGTATAGGCATGGTGACGAGTATCTATACGTTGGTGTCAAGCATGACCTGAGTCTTGTATTGTGATTTTCATGACTTCGTTGTATTATTCATGCCTTGGTGAAGATTTCTACTTGTTGTGTAAAGTTTGTGGAAAGAATTGTGACTCGTGAACATTGAGGAGCGTTGGCTCCAGTTGGATAACGATTTGTGAAAGTATAAGTGTTAATCGAAACTCTAGAGCATTGGCTCGAGTTGTGAAGTGAATTGTGAAGTAAAAGTGAGAAAGAAAAGAGATCATTATATTGTCCCCTTGCCGAGCTATTGTTGAGTTGAGGTTCCCTTGCATTGTGTTCTTAATTGATATTACTGGCGCTTAGGTTGATGATTCTTTGTGTTAGGTGTTGTAACAAGTTTGGTTATAGTTGGGTAGTTAGGTGTTGTAACAAGTTTAGTTATAGCTGAGGTAGTTAGATGTTGAAACTAGTTGAGCTATAGTTGAGATAGTTAGATGTTGGAACAAGTTTGGTTATCGCTGTTTCTCCCTTGCCGGAACATATATACTTGTACTGTTAAGTTCCCTTGCCGGGATAGTGTAGTCTATTATTGATCCCTTGTCGGGACGGTTAATTATGATTATTGTTGAATGTATATTTGGAACGGGTTGCGCGTCGCAACATCATTAGATATTATATTGGATCAGGTTGCACGCCGCAACAGTTTTATATGTGGATCGGGTTGCACGCCGCAGCAGATATTATATGTGGATCGGGTTGCACGCCGCAACATATATTATATTGGATCGGGTTGCACGCCACAACAATTATATATGTGGATCGGGTTGCATGTCGCAACAGTATTATATTGGATCGGGTTGCACGCCGCAACAGTTATATATGTGGATCGGGTTGCACGCCGCAACAGTTATATATGTGGATCGGGTTGCACGCCGCAATAATGTTAAATAATAAGGGATCAGGTTGCGCGTCGCAACAGTATTGTTATCGTATTGATTGTAGACATCGAGTGTTCTTTCATACTTTATTAAGTTTCTGATAGAATTTGTATGTTTTCCCGAAGCATGTTTCCCCCTCCCTTTTAAACTGTTATTACTTGTTTATATTTCCGCTATATATTATATAACTGCACAAGTTTATCTGGAGTCTGGTCCTAGCTTCGTCACTACCTCGCCGAGGTTAGGCCAGACACTTACCAGGACATGGGGTCGGTTGTGCTGATACTACACTCTGCACTCTGTGCAGATACCGGAGCGGCACTTGATCAACAGCAGTAGGGGAACCAGCCTTCAGTCCACCGAGATACCGAGGTAGCCTTGTAGGCGTCTGCAGGCCCGACGTCTCCTCTATCTTTTATTATGTTCTATTATCTCGTGTATCCGAGACAAACAGTGTTATTTTTCCTTCAAACTGTTGTATGTAGTACTCTTAGTAGTCCGTGGATATTGTGACACCCGTTTCTGGGTAGAGGCATGTGCTGACTTTCGAAACATTTTGGTTTTATTTATTTAAGACTTCCGCTTAAAGCTCATATTCCGCTGTTATTTAGATGTTTATCACTTGTTATTATAAGCTGTAAAAAGGATTAAAACAGAAGAGTTAAAGATTTCTAAATTCGTGGCTTGCCTAGCTTCTACGAGTAGGCGCCATGACGACTTCCGAGGGTGGGAATTCCGGATCGTGACAAGTACGAAAAGTTGTTTAAGAACTTCAGTTTTAAACTACATAGATAGTTATAAATTCATTAAAAGATTTGATACTTTCTATTAACAATGTTAGTTACATTCAATAATTCAACAAGTATAAAGTATCCGCTGACTACAGCACGTTTTGAAAAATAGTAAATTGGTTGTTTGGATAGCTTAAAAATCTTTGGTGAGTGAGTAGAATCTTGTTTTTGATAATGTCCCTCATTAAATTAAATCTCCATAAAATTAGGAAAATATCATTAATAGACAAGCTGATTAAGATACAGCATTGAATTATTTCGTCACCTAATTATTTAAATTACCATATAGAACGATCACTTTCCATTGTTATATATCCATCCATTATTTCGTCACCTAATTATTTAAAAACATTTATATCCTACTTTTTCTTTTTGCAATTCTGTCGAAATTTGATTGGTCAATTGTATTTGGTGGTGGTCATTGTATCGTACTGAAAAAATAATTCAAGATCACAGTAAAGTCCAGCTAAGAACCTTTTTTCTTGCTATAAACGGTTAAAAATACATACTCCTATTTATTTAGTTAATCTTAACACACATGATTCTCTTATCTAAGAGTATACTCTTAACACACATCGATCAATCCCTTCTTTTTAATATATCAAACATGTGAATATATTTTTTGCTTTTTTTTTTTGGGAAGTGAGATGTGAATTCATAATTCCTGCATACTGTGATAATACATTAAATCATGTGATCATCTCATTTTATTTGAGTTTTTAAAATGCCCGTTAGAGACAATTCATAAAACGGAAAGGGCCAAATATAATCATGTACTATCATAAAATATTTAAATGTACCATTCATCATATTTTATGTCCATATATACCACAATCGTTATATTATTGGTTCAAACACACATCTTTTCTGTTAAGTTTGTCCAAAGTAAATATTTAATTTTACGTGGCACTGACATTTAATGAGGTGGATGCCACATGGCTTGACACCTCAGTGCCCCTAACCCATTTTACCCCTCCCTTCTATTTTTTTCCACCACTAAAATTTCCTTTCCCTCCACCACTGTTGCCACTATTACTGCTACCATAAAAAAAATATTGTATTTTAAATTTTAGTCTTTTATATATGGATTAAAGGCACTGAGGTAGCATGCCATGTGACATCTACTTCATCAAATATCAGTGCCACGTAGGATTCGATGTCCACCTTGGACAAACTTAACATAAAAAGTATATATTTGAACCAATAGTATTACAATAGGAGTATATTTGAATCCAAAGTATAACGAATAATATATTTAAATCTTTTCTCGAAGTACATGAGTATATTTGGCCCTTTTGCCCTTCATAAAAACCGAAACATGAAAAAGTTTAAAATGAAACATTGTGATATTATTATACAAGCATTGTTCGACTTGAACTATTAAGGGGTCGTTTGGTAGGAGTATTAGAAAAAATAATGCAAGCATTAGCTCTATGCATTACTAATAGCTTGCTTGATACATTTTTTCAACATGTGTATAACTAATAGTTATACATCATACTTGGTATTATCCTATGCATTAGTAATGCATAGATTACCATGGCATTAGTAATACCAAGGCTATTAATGCATGCATTAGTATGTTTAAAGACAAAATTGTCCTTAAAGTCCTTTAAAATTAGAGAACATGAAGGACATTTTTATAAACAACTATTTTTCTTAAAATTTTTGCAATTCATTATAATTTTAATACACCACACCAAACAGTAGCTAAGAAATTATATATGCACAACTAATACTTGCATTACTAAAACATACATTACTAATACACTTTATTCCACATTATTCTTATACATCCTACCAAACCACCCCTTAAATCCTTCTTTAGTAGTCTAGGTTGATGCATGCACTATGACTGCCGGAAGGTCTTTATTTTTTAGTATTAAATCTAATGACTTTACCTTATTAGAACCAAAAGGAATATGTTTTTTTTTTGGTTTGGGGAGAGGGGGGAGGGGGCATAAAAGATCATAGGTAGCTGCTAATGAACTAGGAACCCATGCCAAAAATTTATTGGGATCTGCATTTGATACTTTCATGAAGGATCACGTGTAAATTGCATATTTGAATTATAAAAATGCAAAGAAAAGTAGTTACTAGAAGTAAAAGTCAATTTATTTGAATATTTTTTTCAAGCTAACCTGCATTCAACTTACTTTATCGATAAAGTCTATCACACCAAGTCAAATATACCGTCTAAGCAAGGAAATTAATTACTAATAGTTTTTATGCAGTGTAAGAAAAGACTTAAAAATATTTTTGAGCATTAACTAATAATAACTTAATAAAAATGCTTAGTAACATGCTACTTACATACTTTCTCCATTCTCTTTTACTAATCCCTTATAAATATTTTTTTTTACTTGTCCACTTTAACAAAATAATACAGCTTAATTGTTTTCTTTCAGTATACCCTTAGTATTAAGTACCCATACTCCTCAATTTTATTAGAGTTACAACTTTAATAACTATTAACAAGGATAATTTAATAAAATAAACTCTTAATTAATAAATAAGTTTTTGAGAGGCGTGCCTAATCGATAGAGAACTAATAAAAAGAAACAAAGGAAGTACTCTATCTTTAACAATACAAGTCTATTTTTATGTTCACTTTATATTACTTTTTTTTGGTTTCACATTTGGTGTTCGGTATCCGCATTGGAGTTCGACTATATCTGAATTCGTACCGCATATGGCCCCATTTGAGAAAAAATACTTCTTTCTAAGGATTTTTCCATACACATAATTTGAACCTGAGACCTTTGATTAAGAGAAAAACAGTCTCATTCATTGATGGTTCTTTCTGATGGGATTGGTGCGTTAGTGCTGATTTGATCATATCCCAATTTATGTAACTTAGATCCTTAGTAAATAGGTGTAGCGAGTCACTTCATTATTGTTTTGTGATAAAGAAGTTGAACTTATCATAAATGCACATTATTTAACAATTAACTAAATATAATTACATACATACACGTATTTGTGAGTTAGAAGCCGTGGTCCTAAGTCTTAACCATGATAATCCAAAATAAAAAAGTAAAAATTATTTTTTCCAATGTGTACTAATGATGGTAAAGTCTTAGCTAGTTACTATAGTACAAAATCCAAAACAAGCAAATAAAAATGGTTGAAATAGAACTTATCCAATACAACTCAATTATTTATATATATATCCCTTACTTCAATCAAAACACACAGTTTAACTATTACAAACCTAACAAATAACAAACAACAGTCTTCTTCTTCTACAACTCCTCTCTCAATATTCATTTCCTTTATCCCAATGGCAACGAGAAAAAACTTCCTCTTTCTCGAACGAAAAGACAGAATTACCCCTCTCCCCTCTAGTAGCCTTCAGTTCGAATTTGATGAAGCTGAAATATGGTGTAACAACACTAGTTCAAACGAAAATGTTGTTCATAATTCTGAAGCCAAAATATCAATACCCAATTCAAGATTCTTGAAAAAACCAGGGAAAAAGAGTGAAAGATCAAGGGCAATTTCGTCAACATCACTGCCAGTGAATATACCAGATTGGTCGAAAATCTTAGGTGATGAGTACAGGAGTTGTCCGAAAGAAATTGATGATAATTATAATGTTGTTGAGGATTTTGATGAAATTGGAATTCCACCACATGAATATTTAGCAAGAACAAGAGTTGCTTCATTTTCAGTACATGAAGGTATTGGAAGAACACTTAAAGGAAGAGATTTGAGTAGGGTAAGAAATGCTATTTGGAAACAAACTGGTTTTGAAGATTAGTTAATCTTGATTAATTAGCTGGAGCAACGGTAACATTGTCTCTTTGTGACCTATAGGTTACAGGTTCGAGCTTTAGAATCAAGTCGTTTATGTTTGCGTTAAGGTAGGTTGTCGGCTCTTACCCTAACCCTGTGTGAATGCGGGATATTTGTACGCCGGTTGCCCTTTTATTTTTATTTTTTATTTTTTAAATTGGATTAATGGGTTAATTTTTGTAAGTTATTATAGGGTGGATTGATCCTCTAGTTTTGATGGTTATCTTTTAGCTGTGACTTCAATTCAGAGGATCTAATGTAATGTAAGATTGTGTTGCATATTCACATTTCTTTCCTTAGATTTTGCATAATCCTTTGGATTTTTGAATGGAATATCAGTCCGAGGGATTAGTTTGTAATTTTAAACTTGATGAGTTTTGGATTTGTACTGTGGAATCTCACCTAATTAATTTATTTTTCTTTGATTAATATAATGTTATTCACCTTTCTCTCTTTCATGTAGATAGAAACCTTTTGCTTTATGACTTTGATTTGCTTTTCACCAAAAGCCATATAAAAGAAAAGGATATTATTAACATATATTGCATGTTAGAAATGCACTAATTAACATGTTCATAATTTTGGTTTAGTTGCTTTTGCTTCTTGTTTTTGTAAATAAACTTTTGTGTTAACATGGAAATAAATGAGAAAACTATGTAAGTTTGTATTAGAAAATTCATAAATATTTCATTATAAAATTACTAATAAATAAGTTATATGTTCAATGGCAAGTTCTTAACGCATAAATTTTAAATTTTGGCACCGTTTCTAATTTGTATTAGAAAGAGAGATATATTATGGCCTCGTTTGTTTGTACTTAATGGAGGTCTGAATATTAATCATCTAGATCTCAGTCATTAAGTATGTTTTTTACTTCTGAATCTTAATCATTCAGATCTTAACCATCAAGTTTGTTTGCTTTTTCAATTTTACAACCGCTTAACGAGTCTGAATAGATCATCATGATTAAGATATATAATAGAGTCTTAATATCATTAAGATTTTATACATTTAAAAATTTATGTAAAAATAATATTTCACTATTACTCCTACACTTTCATCATTAATCATCATCACCACTGCTATCAATGTCCCCCACTATTATACACTACCACCAACCTCAGCTACAAGCACCACCGCTACTAAGCACGAACGTCAGTTGTCACTACCGCTAGCCATCATTTACATCTATCACCACCAACCACCATTACCACAACAATTATCAATTACCAATATTAACAACCACTATATATCACCCATCATTGTTATCAGTCACCATGCCACCATCGTTAACCACTATTGGCATTCACATCTACTAACCATAATCACCACAATCAACCAGCATCACCACCAGCTATCACCTAGTTGATGGCATTCACATGTAGTATTAGATTAATTAGAACTATTTGATTTGAAGTTAGACTTATTAATTTTTAAATAAAGACAAGTTTTATACCTTAAAAAACAAACAGACTTAATTATTCAGTATTCAGATCTTAATATAATATTTTAATATTCAGATGCGTATTTAAATTTAAATATTTTAATCTTAATACACATATTAATATTTAGATGTGTATTAATCTTAATCTTACTAAAAACAAATAAGGCCCAGTAGACGTTTTGGATAGTATTTAGTGGTAGGTAAGAAAGCAACATGTTAACTTGGACAATCCTTTGAAGCAAAAATTCACACGCTAACTAAACACCCACCCCATCCCCACCCCCACACCCCTAAAGGGAGGAAATTTTATTTTTATTTATCTTCAAAGAAATGGTAACTTGGCTTGTTTGTTTGGATATGGACAAATTTGTATCGTGTATGAGTTGTAATTTATACAGATAATGTATACCAATAAATAAATTGACCTTATGCATTTGTAATTCCTGAATACTGAAATTGAGGTCATATTTCAAAGTTTGAACACACTTCTATCCTTTTCCCATCTCTCATCTTATTTTAGGACCATAGTTTTTTATTTTCTACAGCCTGGTATTGCATGTACTTTCATGTGTTTGTCTATGACACATTCTTCTCAAACCTTGTCACTTGGATTTTCTTTTTTTTAATCAAACAGCCAATTATTACTCGTCAGCTCATTTTCCAAAAATAAAAATAAAAATACATTAAAATATTTTATCTTTATATTCTACAATATTTTAGAGTTTACCGTGATTCTCTTATCAATCAGTCATAATTTTGATTCGAGTCTAAAATAGTTGGTATCAGTTATATGAATACTCTACTCTGTAATTATTTTGTTCTTCTTTGATTATTCAATAGATCATACTTAAATTATTCTACACTAGCAACCAATTTACCACAATTTTTTTGTTTAAGTTAATTTGAGATCGACTGTGTTATGCTCACATCAGCAAAGTACCTCGTCAAGCCATATACATCCACATAGTTCTAAGGATGGTTTGGTAGGATGTATTAGGAAAAATAATATATGTATTAGCTTTGGTATTATCAATCTCTTGTCTGGTAGTATTTTTCAACCTAATAATATATGTATTAGGAAAAATACTATTCTTATCATAATTGTATACGATGGAAATCGGGGTTACCCGATTTCGTTCTTCAATGGAAAAAGTGATACCACGTCGAGAGGCCAGGACGCCGAGCTCGGGGTCGAGGCTCCTTTCCAATATCGAGGTCGGGGTCGATATCATGTGCCGAGGTCGGAAGAAGGCCCACTTCGAGATAATACCGCTATGATTTAGTAACAGAAAAAGCGAAATTCCCGCAATGGCCCGAAGATCACGGCGTAAATTCCGGAACGGATTGGTCCTTGGCGGTTAGACAGCTGTCAAATATGATTCCCTACTATAATTAGAAGTGTACCTTATTTAGGACTCCCCTATTATATAAAGGGAAGCTCATTCATTTGTACGAGACAGTTCATTGACAAGAGAATATACAATCATCATTTTTTGCTTCCTGTTCATCAGAATTGCCTTATAATTTGTTGTTCTTACTAACCACCTCGAGACTGCCAGAGGTCGAGGTCGAGATTTAGCTTGCACACTGGTTTGACTTATTTCATTCTCTAATTTATCTATCTAATTCCTTTATATCAATTGGTATTGGACTAAGTCACATATCCTTATCACAACATAAAATTTAATTATTACTCGGATTTTAAGGTAAACAATTTGGCGTCCACCGTGGGGTAAAGGATAATAGTGATTGTTTCAGTGCTGATTCTAATAACATACGTTATTTTCACACTTGTTCTTGTCAAGAATTTTTGTTCTCAGGTTAAAACATGTCAAACTCACAAAACGCACCCGTACATGGTGATGATTGTCTTGAATTTCACGGGGAAAACGATAAGATAATTGCTCCAGAAGCCGGGGTGCCACCTATTAACCCTGGGGGAGTGCCAGTTGCCGATCCAGTCGATGTCAGTTCGCACACTGCTTTGAATGTGGACTTAGGCGTGGACCCTGGAGGGAGTGTGCGCAGGGAAGGCCGATCTGGTGGCCAAGGAACACAGGGCAAATGAGACGGGGGAGTTAGTCTCCAGGTAATATTCGAGATGCTACAGGCTCAATATGCCGCTATTGCTCAGCTTCAAAGTCAGCATAGAACTCCGAGTGTGGTTGAGCCGGAAGTCACTCGTCGTACCGAGCCAGTGCCAGAGAGGTCGAATGGAAACGGATCAGGGATTGATCCTACAATTATGAAAAAGCTCGAGGAACTCACAAAAAGAATTGAGTCTGGAGAGAAGAAAATCGAAGATAATGATAAAAAAGTGGAAAAATACAACTCCCGAGTTGATCGGATACAGGGGGCACCCCCGATCCTAAAGGGTTTGGATTCGAAAAAGTTCGTACAGAAGCCTTTTCCTCAGAGTGCAGCTCCGAAGCCTATTCCTAAGAAGTTTCGTATGACGGATATACCTAAATACAATGGGACCACCGATCCTAATGAATACATCACTTCATACACGTGCGGAATAAAGGAAAATGACTTAGAAGACGATGAGATCGAGTCCGTTTTGTTGAAAAAATTTGGGCAAACTCTATCAAAGGGAGCAATGATTTGGCATCACAACTTGATACCGAATTCCATCGAATCATTTGTCATGTTAGCAAATTCTTTTGTGAAGGCACATACCGGGGCCATAAAGGTCGCAACAAGAAAATCGGAAATTTTCACGATAAGACAAAGGGATAACGAAATGCTGAGGGAGTTCGTATCCCGATTTCAAATGGAACGCATGGAGCTGCCGCCGGTCACAGATGATTGGACCATTCAAGTTTTCACCCAGGGGTTGAACGAGCGGAGTTCGATAGCATCACGACAATTGAAGCAAAATTTGGTCGAGTATCCAGCTGTAACTTGGGCAGATGTGCACAATCAATATCAATCAAAGATTAGGGCCAAGGATGACCAATTAGGAGCCCCTTCGGGCCGAGGATAACCAATCGGTAGTTAAAACCCAAGGGACACCGACAGGGAATCAAGGTCGAACATGGAATGATATCAACCATATACCGCAGATCAAAGGAACAATGGCTCGGGATGCAATCCCTCCCCGAATGATCGAAGAAACGATCGAGGACAAAATTCTTGGGGACTTATGAGCAAAATTGGTTTTGATAAGCATGCCAATTGCGTGGAGGCACCTCGGCTATCAGAGTATAACTTTAGCATCGACGCATCAGGAATTGTATCGGCAATCGGAAGGATCAAGGATACTAAATGTCCCAGACCCATACAAACCGATCCTTCTCAAAGAAACCCAAATTTGATGTGAAAATATCATGGCACGCATGGTCATAAGACCGAGGATTGCAGGCAATTAAGTGAGGACATAGCCCGACTATTCAACGAGGGCCACCTTCGAGAGTTCCTCAGCGATCGAGTCAAGAATCATTTCAGAGACAGAGACGCCAACAGGAAAATTGAATAGGAGGAACCTCAACATGTCATTCATATGATCGTCGGCGGAGTCGATATTCCACAAGGGCCCGTGTTCAAGCGCACTAAGGTGTCGATTACTAGGGAGAAATAGACCCGGGATAACGTGCCCGAGGGCTCCTTATCATTCAACGACGAAGAAGCAGAAGGCATTTCTCAACCACACAGCGACGCTCTGGTAATTTCTATCTTATTAAATAAAGTACAAGTTAAGCATGTTTTAGTTGATCCAGGTAGCTCGGAGAATATTATCCGATCGAGGGTCGTGGAGCAGCTCGGCCTACAGGATCAAATTGTGCCCGCAACTCGGGTCTTAAACGGATTCAACTTGGCCAGTGAAACAACTAAATGGGAGATTACTCTACCAGTGAATGTGGCTGGAACTATTCAAGATACCAAATTCTACGTGATCGAGGGCGACATGAGGTACAATGCCCTACTCGAAGGCCCTGAATTCATAACACGAGGGCTGTTCCTTCAACTCTCCACCAAATGA